CCAGAGGACTTAAGTGGTTGAGCAAGGTCCCCATAAGACACTTGCGTTCCCACAGACGCCATAGGTGGTGCAGGTCCCCGGCGCACCACCTCGGCAAAAGAGCCTCTCTGAAAACCCAAGAAGCGACGTTTTGTTTCGGGATAAGAGATGTTTTCCTTCACCTTCAGCGTCAGAATTTCCCTTTCTCTTTTGAAATGTTCACATGACCTAGAATACGCAGGGTGCTTGCCTTTACAATTTACACATTTCATGTCTTCATGACAGTCGTCAGCGTTGTGCTCGGAGCTACCACACCTGGCACATGTCTCACGGGCACGGCATGACCGCGAGCCGTGCCCAAAGCGCTGACAACGGAAACAACGGACAGGGTTAGGTATGTAAGGCCGGACCCTACAATTCAAGTACCCCGCTTTCACGGAAGAAGGCAGGCTGTTGAGCTCAAAGGTAAGGACCAAGTGTCGCGTAGGAAGTTCTTTGTCATCCCTACGGATGGTGATGCGCTTTACAGCAACAACACCCAGGCTGCGCATGCCTTCAAGAATCTCTTCCTCCTGACTCTCCATCAGGTCATCCTCAGATATAACACCACGAATGGTGTTGAGCGTACGGTGTGCAGAGACGCTTACTTTCGTGTCAAGGATATGGTTGAGGCAGAGCAACGCTGCTGCCTGATTTTTCTCAAATACTTCTACCAAAACGTCTCCAGAAAAAGTATTTTTTGCATTAAACTTTTCCCCTACCTAGTCTTTTAAGACTTTAGCCACAAGGAAAGGGGAGAGTTTCGACATCCGTTTCGTCTCAACTTCGGAATGTATAATGAGAAACTTAGTGACGTAGTCAGTGTTGTTCTTGTCCAAAGGTGGTAGATATGCATCGGTGCGGACCCTTTTGGGGGCCCGATCAGAAGGTTTAAGCTTGGAACCCATATGAAGGGGGAGGGTTTTCGGAAACTGTGGTGCACCGCCCACCACCGAGCCCAACAAGGGAATAGGTAACGCTCCATAACAAGAAGGGCTTGGCTGAAGACGTTACTCTATTAGTGCTGCCCAGTCTCTATAACCAAGTGTGGTTCAAGACAAGAGAATCTATTGCCACCCAAGGTTAGCCCTTGCCGCCAAAGGAGTTGAAAAGGAAAGAAGAGAAATGAGAAGAGTGAAAAGAAGGAGAAGACAAAGGTGATAGAAGAGAGGGGATAGTAGAAGGAGTGGCGACTAGACTGAATCATCCTGGCCGGGCCTTACCAGGACTCCCGTCTATGAGAAGCAGGGGCCGAAGTGGTGTATTGCCTCGCCCGGGGGGCCCCGAAGTGTCCAAACCTACCCCGGGCTCGTCTCAACCACCAGGATGCCCTTTTCCCCAGACACGGGAAAGCCACGCACAGCCAGACGTGGGCGGGCGAACCCACATGGCTCGGGGTCCGTGGAGACGCCACTCTCCAAACACCTGCTTTCACAGGTGCCCTCTGCGGGGCTCTCAAGGTGAACCTGTCAATATGTAAATAAACAGACTTATACGAGATAGTGCTCCTGCGCCCTAATCCTTCTCGATACCTCCATTCTGATGACGTCCTGACCTGGCTCGGCTCCCTGCTGTACCCGAGGTCCCGGACAACCGCTCGTTCGCGACAGCTGGATGGCAGCGGCAGGATCCTACAGTGCCATTACAGCGTAGGGATCCAACCATGACTTCTTCTGTAGGTGAGTGCCCGGCCGTCTCTTTCTTCATCTGCCAGACCCGTTAGGTTCTAGTTTTGCCAGTGGGGGTTTCGGATAGTCGGTGTCAGAAGAACGGTGCGACCGTTTTGACCGCGAGCATTATGTGGGATCATAATCATGAACATGAGTCTGGAAATATTCCGCTTGCACAAGTTGGTACAGGTCTGTACCCATTCAGGGATCGATTTAAAGCAGAAAAAAGGAACACCGGCCATCCTAAAACTCATTCAGGCCGCAGACGTCAGCGATAAGGAGTTTACAGAGGCTACGGAGGAAACTCGCCAAAGGGAACATTAGGAGCGCGAAGCAAAAAGCGGGGTGACGAGGCTCTCAAGAAACGCGAGTGAAAGCGCGAAATGGAGCCGCTCCACGACGAGATATAGCAACAGGGGTCGAGCTTACGAGCAAAACGCTGGAGTTCGAGTCCTTTCGTCGGGCGACAACTGGCGTTAAAGAAGTGTTATGTACATTTAATTACATTGAAGTTATGTACATATATACAGGTCAGATTCGGGACAGTACATTATGGACTGGCGGTTCGATCAGCGGTCCTAACTTCACGAGCACTCACCAACCTTGTCACTCGTCGTCTTCTTCCATTGACGTGAAGGTACGCTCGCAGTCGCGCCTAGCAGGCGCATATCTTACACTCCTCCCTACTAGACTAATGCACATAGTCGTTAAAATAAGTAGGGCGACGTGTTGCTCTTTGATGTCTCGAAGGGTTGCTAGAGAAAACTGTTGCCGAACCAGCTGGTTCGACTGCTGGTGTGGCATCGGCCCCAACGTCCGCTTCTTTGGAGACCGCTTCAGGTAGAGCAGTTAAACTCAAGTCGACTGAAGAGTTATCTTCTGAGTTTTCTGCAGAAGTTGTCGCTGGCCTTCTGCGCAGCTGGTCAACATGGCGACGCCAAGATCGTCCATCTTCGGTTTCAATCCTATAGGATAGTGGACCGGTCACGGCTGTGACTACTCCAGGGGTCCACTTGGCACCAAACAAGTAATTTCTTGCATAAACGTTTTCACCTACTGTAAATAGTCGTGTCTTCTTCCCTTCCTGGAGAAACTTGTCCTCTTGTTTCCATGATGAATGGAACTGAGAATCTGGATGCAGGCGATCTAATGCTGTTTTCAGACGTCGGTTCATCAATAGTTCCGCAGGACTCCTGCCCGTTGAGGAATGTGGCAGTGTATGTTGACGGAACAAAAATCGCGCCAAATCGATGTTTACGTCGCCTGAATTTATGTGAGTGAGTGACTCCTTGGTTTCTCTCACCATTCGTTCGGCCTGGCTATTCGATGAAGGGTGGTAAGGTGCCACTGCCACGTGTCGAATCTGGTTGCGGGTTGTAAATTCCTTGAACTCTGTCGAAACGAAGGCTGTGCCATTATCACTGACAATGACGTCTGGCACTCCGTGTACGGCAAACAACATCTTCAGTTTCTGTACGACGGCTGAGGAAGACATAGAATTCATAATAACTACAGCGAGCCATTTCGAGAATGAATCGACCACGATCAGAAAGATCTTTCCCTTGAATGGTCCCGCAAAGTCACTGTGTAGACGAGACCAGGGATGTTGCGTCGTCTCCCAGGGATGCGCTGGTGCCCGTGGCATTGATGGTCTGTGTTCTTGGCATGCCGAGCAACTTGCTGCCTTTTCTTCAATGTCATGGTCGATTCCAGGCCACCAGACTCTACTCCTCGCTAGTGCCTTCATCTTTACAATGCCTGGATGGGCTGTGTGTAAGACGTCGAGTACAGTGGATTGTGCCACTTTGGGAATAACAAGCCGGCTTCCCCAAATGATGCATCCCTTATAAGTTGATAGTTCACCTTTCCTAGTTGTATAGGGTTTGAAGTGTTCGTGTTGCTTGTCATCTGGCCACCCATGCATGATCTAGCGCTGGACTCGCGCAAGCACAGAATCTTTTCTCGTGGATGCTGCAATTTTTTCGGAGTTCCAAGGCTGTTCTGGAGCGATCTCTAGCATCCGTACGTCTGCGACTGGAATGTCGTCCAGCTCTGTTGCAGGTATAGGCAGTCGACTGAGTGCATCAGCGTTTCCTATCTTGCTTCCCGGGCGGTACTGCAGGTCGTAGTGGTATGCGGCTAGCGTTAGACTCCACCTGAGAACTCTTGGTGACACCATAGCTGGAATTTCCTTGTGCGGACTTAGCAATCCTAGCAGAGGCTTATGATCTGTGATTATGGTCACCGGGCGGCCATAGATGTACTAGTGAAACTTTTTTAAACCATATATGATCGCCAGGGCCTGACGATCAGTTTGCGAGTAATATCGCTCAGCCTTGCTCAGGGTTCTGGACCCGTAAGCTATTGGTGACTCTTGCCCTGAGTCGGCCAAGTGACTCAAGACAGCTCCAAGACCATAAGGCGAAGCATCGCAGGTCAATAATAAAGGCTTGCTGATATCGTAGTGAGCCAGAACTGCCGCTGACTTGAGCAGTTCTTTCGCCTTGCGATTAGCATCAGCTTCCAGGACGGTCCATGTCCAGCTCGCCTCCTTATCCAGTAGTCTGTACAACGGCTCCAAGGTGTGAGCAGCTCCCTTGAGGAAACGATAGTAGAAATCAAGCAAGCCCAGGAATGACTGTAGTTCCTGTTTGTTCTTGGGCTCTGGAGCTTCATGGATGGCCTTGACCTTGTCTTCAGTTGGTCGCACCCCGTCCTTGTCAATCCTGAATCCCAAAAACACCACTTATATTCTGTTGAACGTACATTTTGCCTTGTTAATGCGTAACCCGTCTTCCTTGAATCGCTGCATCACAGCTCGCAGGCGTCTATCGTGCTGTTCTTTGGATTCTCCGCCGATAAGGATGTCATCTAAAAAATTTAGTACTCCTTCAATTCCGGCAAGTAACTCCTCCATATAACGCTGGAAGATCGCTACGGCGACGGATACTCCAAATGGAAGAGGTTAACCTTCAAAAGTCGCTTGTGCGTCGTGATGGCGAAAAACTTTGCTGACTCATCATCGACGGTCAACTGCTGGTAGGGCTGTGCAAGGTCGAGCTGTGTAAAGCGACGGCAACCAGCTAAGTTGCTCAGGAGTTGCTCTGGCGTGGGCATGGGTAAGATTCCCACTTCACTGCCTTGTTTACGGTACTTTTATAGTCACCGCAAATCCGCAATTCACCACTCTTTTTCAGGACTGGGACTATCGGTGTAGCCCAATTTGAGTGTTTTACAGGTTCAAGGATTCCCTGCTGGACCAACTTTTCTAGTTCTTGCTCCACCTTCGGACGCATCACATAGGGAACTTGCCTTAACTTGCAAAACTTAGGTGCAGCAGATCTGTCGACCTCCACACGAATAGGTGGTCCCCGACTCTTTCCCAGACCAGTGTCAAAGATTTCCTTAAACTCCTCCAAGAATCTGCTACCCTCCTGGGTATTCCTGAGTTGATGGACACCAGTGAGGCCGATTCCTAGATGCTTGAAGCAGTTTCGTCCAAGAAGGCTTGCGTACTCTCCCTTGACCACCAGAAGTGACAGAGTTGCCGATCTTTCTTTGTGTTTAACCTCCACGACTACTCTTCCTAGGACGATAACAGGCTCCTTCGTATATGTGCGTAGCGCAACAGTAGATGGTTTTAGCCTCTGAGTTGGAATATGAAGTCGTGCCATTTTTCTCCTGCTTATGACAGAGAGCATGCATCCTGAGTCCACCTCCATCGCTGTTGGCTGTCCGTCGATGTCGACGTCCACGAGGATAGCTGGTTCGTTGGACGAGAGGTTGTACAGCTCGTACGTCTTGGTGGTATCGCCGTCTAAAAGATCAGCTTGCGCCGTCCCCCGTCTTGCTCTTGGAGGACTTTTCTTAGCCTTCTTTTGAAGACAGGCTTTGACAATATGCCCTTTGCGGCCACAGAACAGGCATGTGGCGTTCTTGAAGTGGCAGTCCTGTGGAGAGTGTGCCCCGTTTCATCGATAGCACACGGAAGTCGCGTGCTTAGTTTCAGGCTTCGCATGATGTTGTGCAGGCGGTGACGGTTCAGGTCCATCTTTAGCCACGCTGTGGATTTGGCTGACGTCCTTAGGCGTAGTCCTAATCTCCATGGCATTGTTCTTCGCACATTCCGGTCCTATTGCCAACTTCTCCGCTTGAGCCAACGTAAGCTCGGCTTCGCTCAGCAGACGTCGTTGCAAGGCCTCATCTTTAACTCCACAAACAATCTGGTCGCGCAAACTGCTGTCGAGGGCGTCTCCGAAGTTGCAGGTAATTGCAATACAGCGTAAGTCCGCGATGAATGCAGCCATGGGTTCGTCGCTGTGCTGTGCCCGCTTATGAAACTTAAAGCGCTCCACGATCTCCGAGGGCTTTGGTGCAAAGTGATTTCCCAACTTCTTAATGATGTCAGCGTAGTCCGTCTCTGAAGGTGTCGTTGGCGTGCCGAGGGAATGTAGTATTGCATAGGTCTCGGCTCCGCAAACGCTGCAGAACACGGCTCGCTTCAACTTGGGTGCATCGATCCCATGGGCTTCAAAGTGGAATTCCAGCCGTTGAAGGTATAATGGCCATGTCTCCGGCTTACCTGCCTGGAAAGCTTCAAATGTCAGCGATGTCCTTTCAACCATGATGAGTTGCCGGAGTCTCGCCCGCTTTTTCCGATTTCCTCGTCGCCAAATTTGTTATGTACATTTAATTACAAAGAAGCTATGTACATATATGCATATCAGATTCGGGACAGCACATGATGGACTGGCGGTTCGATCAGCGGTCCGAACTGCACGAGCACTCACCAACCTTGTCACTTGTCGTCTTCTTCCACTGACGCGAAGGTACGCTCGCAGTCGCGCCTAGCAGGCGCCCTAACTTACAAGTGAGAGAATAGGTGTGTCAGGGAAAGGGGTATGTGGAAGCTCGTGATACAGTGTTGCCAGAAATCCAGCGCCTTTCTCCTATAAAAAAACCGGAAATGCCTCTCAGAGGAAAATGTAATCCTACGCCGAGAAACGCCAGCCAATCGTTTTCATGACGTCACGATTCCGTGGACCAATCGCGATCTTTTTGAAAAAAAAAAAAGCTCAACATGGCTCCTGGCCTTAGCAACGCGACGCTAGTATCTCATGACAATTATTCTGCTTTTTTGCACCGTGTTTTACGTGCCCGAGGTTACGCCACGAAATCTTAATGGTATCGGCTTGCGTCTGCAGCCGTTTTTGCGCGACGTGAGAATCCAGCGACGCTATCGCCAAAGAAAATAATAATAATAATAATAATAATAATAATAAGTTTTATTTGCTCAGGAGAGCCGCGGCACCGCAGAAAGGCAACAGCCCGTACCAAGGAGGCCCGCGGTGCCGTGTCTAGTGATGGTGATTATGTGATGATGTAATGTACAGATGAAAGTGATGGTGATTATAATATGGTGTGTTGGCCAGGCGGCGGTCTTTACGAAAGCGGGCCTTGGAGTCTTCCAGCTTGCGGTCCAGCTTGTAACTGGGCAGCGTGAGAACCCCCTAAATTTTGGCTGTGCCCATGAAAAGCTTTCGTTGATAATCACTGTGTCAGAGACGATCCTCTTCCTCCTCATTCCAAATTACGAAGCGGGCGCAAGGCTTAGCACTGCTGAGAGGTGAAAAGCTATGCCGGACGTCGTCTGCTTCGTTCTAGTTCTGTCGCCTCTGCCCCACGTTGCTGCTCAACAAAGTACCGGCAACGCTGCTTCAATTCGCTGTGGTTTCCGCGGGGTGAGCCGAGATTACCGTGCTTATCAGTCGCAGGTGGTGGTGTCGATGACTTGGGAGGGTGCCGATTTGTCAAAACCCGAAAAGTATAATTATTCTTGTTTTCTATTCATCCAACAAAATAAAGGCACACATTTCGTGCGCCAAGCCCACAAAACTAAGTAAATCACTAAATATTTATTATTTGCAGGAACTATAAGTGCTTCGCTTTCCCTCAATCGAAGGCGCTGGAAGACGGTATGTTAGACAATATCTAGGACAGAAAATGAATTGGGAAGACGGTACATTGGACATGACTTTCTTTCTTTACTAAACAGCTATTTCGTTGACAAAAACGTATTCTAACGTATTTAAATGTCCTGAATGAATTAAATAAATATTGTAGTAGTTTAAGACACGTTTCCTGGAGGAAAGAAAAAACAACGTTGCTAGCGAATTACTTTCTCGACGGCGGAGGCACTTCAGATGGGCGCAATGCGCTTGTGGGTGGAGCTAAAAGATTGTTCTCAGGTTGCATCCGACTATAAAAAGACTGTAGCGTTTACGTTTAGGGATGTCTTCCATTCAGAGATGGCACCCCCTACATTGCGCCGATTGCACGTGTCGCGTATTGTACCAAACCACGGTTCGCGTGGCTGCAACGAATGATTCGGTCACCAAAAATACAATAAATAAATTGGCTCGAGGCGCTCGCTTCAGATCTGCCCTCGTCACCGTTGCGATCGGTTGCTTGTCTCGCGTTCTTCTCGGCAGGTTCTGGCCCGGAGTCGACCGGCAAATTCCATGTAAGCATTCATCTATAATAATAAATAAAATATACACCAACCAAATCCTTGTACAAAGGCAAAACCTTACGTTTCGAGACCAGCTCGGTCTCTTCTTCAGGGGTTGACTACGGCTATGGCCGTTGAGGAGCAGTAATCTGTTTTCTTCTTCTTCTACGGCAGTGTCTATCGTTTTGCATCGGTGAGGTGGCGAAGTCCGTTCACGTAGCCGGTCAGCAGAGTGCCGAGGGACCTATTTATGTTTTCTGGCGTTGTTTGTATGTGCCAAGATTCAATAAAAAGTCTATGTCTGGGATTGGTTTCAACAACCAGGATGCTGGTGTTGGCAAAGTCAATTTTGTGGTCCTTGACGTCGCAGTGCTCAGCTACGGCGCTTGGTTCATGGTCGAACTTTCGAACATCGTTCATATGCTGGCGGATTCTCTCCCGGAAGTTCTTCGTTTCCCCGATGAATGTGACCGGGCAGTCCGCGCATGGAATTTTATAAACGACGCCTTCTGCTTTTTCCTTAAGCGGGCGAAAGCACAAGGCGTCGTTTATAAAATTCCATGCGCGGACTGCGCGGTCACATACATCGGGGAAACGAAGAACTTCCGGGAGAGAATCCGCCAGCATATGAACGATGTTCGAAAGTTCGACCATGAACGAAGCGCCGTAGCTGAGCACTGCGACGTCAAGGACCACAAAATTGACTTTGCCAACACCAGCATCCTGGCTGTTGAAACCAATCCCAGACATAGACTTTTTATTGAATCTTGGCACATACAAACAACGCCAGAAAACATAAATAGGTCCCTCGGCACTCTGCCGACCGGCTACGTGAACGGACTTCGCCAAAAAAACAAATTAGTCGTTAGTTGTTTATACAGCAGGAGTTTAGTCTGCCAGAACATGGCGACATTGTTACCCACTGTAGATGAGCAATTTAGCCAGTGCGGTACAACCGCTAGCCTGGGGTCTTTAACGTGCACCACGCAGTAGTGATACACGACCGCACGCCGGTACGATGCTCATCCAGATCGAAACGGGCAGGGGGGGTGGGGCTCGAACCCAGGATCCCTGGGTTCTGCAGCGCGAGCTTTCGCTCCACGCGCGTCGAGCTGGGTGTGCGCTTTAGCCCACTCGGCCACCGATCCCCCCGGAGAGAGAGAGAAAATCGTTTTATTAAAATAATAATGAAATTCGGAGAGGGTTAGTCTAGCCGATTAGCTGACATTGTTCGCTCCGAGAAAGGAAAAAAAATGTTAAAAGAATAGATGAAGAGTGCAAAGAAAGAGAAGAATAAAGAGAAAGGTGAGAGGTGTAAAGTTATTCATCACGAAAGCACTTTCGTATGTTCATAACTTTAGAAAATGCTCTGCTTCTTATAGTTGACCTTGTAGCCCAGTGGCTTGAAGGAAGGTCAGGAATATCCTTTGAAGTACTTTCCTCCGAGCTCGGGTACCAGAAGGGAAAATAATGCTTGCAATGTCTTCCACGACGAAGTGATGTCTTTTTAACTGTGATGCGAGGTCTTTCCTTTCCTTTTCAAATTTCTGGCAGTCTTCTAGGATATGGTTAATATCTTCGGTAACACCGCATACGTTACAGGTGTCTGTATCGCGTTTTTTCCAGCGGTGAAGTAATTTTCCTGTACGCGCACTTCCTGTACGTAGGCGGAAGAGAAGTGTGGCTTCTGCTCGTCGAAGACTTCCTGTTAGACAGGGTTGGATAGGGGAGGAGTGCGCTATTGATAAATCACAGATGTGTTCATTTATAATTTGGTAATATTTTCTGGGATCATCTTGCGTCTTGATGCTAATAGGAAGATTGTGTGCGTTGGAGGCAAGTTGGTCTGCCTTTTCGTTTCCATGTGATCCGACATGAGCTGGTACCCACTGAAATGAAATTTCGAAACCATCTTCTTCTAGTGATCTTGAAATTGATTTGGCCGCCATTACTACTTGTGACATTTGTCGAGACCTTTGGAGCTGTTGAAGTGCAGCACGAGAATCCGTTAGGAGAATAACTGCCTGTGGTGTTAAGTTTTTTATCATGTGAAGGGCTTCTAGGATTGCATGCATTTCAGCTGTTGTTGATGACACAAACTCATCTAGTCGCCCACTCCATTCGATCTGTAAAGTAGGCGCATAGTAGGCGGAAGTGCTACTTCTTCGACTTCGACTTACTGATCCGTCCGTGTACACCTCCAGGTGGTTGGCGTATCTTCTCGAAATGTATTCATTAGTTTTTAGTTTTATGGCAGTTGAGTTGGCGCTGAACTTGTTGTGTATACCGGGAATGCGGCACTTACATTTCGGGCTGTAAACGTTCCAGGGGGGAGCTGATAAAGAGTTGTCTTTGTCTTGCTGTAACTCTGGTGTCCATCCAAGATGTTGAAGAGTTTGCGTAGAAATAAAAAAGCGAGAGTGTTGCCTGGTTTGAAGTCGGCGTAGGAGGCTCCTTCCTGCAGACGTAGTGGACAAACGAATTTGTTGGGAAAGAAGGCATTTGGTAGCCATAAGTGGTAAAGTCAGAGCTCGGGCTTCTCAATATACATTTTCGTTCCTCGTTGATCTTGGCACTCCTAGGCAAGTACGTAGGCCTTGTCGATGTATGCGCTCTAGAGATTGAGAGTCTGTCGGCGATAATCTAATGAAAGGTAATGAATATAGAATACGACTGACAACAAGAGATGAATGGAGACGTATCATAGAGCTTGACGAGTTTCCCCATGATTGTCCTGCCACTCTACGAATGGCATTTCTTGCTGTCATCGTTGATTTCATGACGTTAGTGGCTTGC